CTCGCTTGTACCGTAGTTTGGCTGAAACCCAAACCACTAGTACAATTGTGAATTTAATTGTTTATTTCTCTAAAATTGAACAATATCAGCAGTAGCACATTATTTATTTCCTTCCGGGCACAACATCGACTTTAGTCTAAGCTGACTGATTAATTGGTTTGGTAAACGTAATAGATTTCCTAATTACATGTAAATCTACTGATGAATGTCTCAAACATTGTAATACAACGGTTAATTCTTACAATCTCTATGACTCATCATAAAAAAAGTGTTTTTATCTAAAGTGTGCCAGAACTCGATTGTTACGTAGTTGATGCATTTCTTGCATAAGTACTAAAATTAAAAAGACCAAGCAGAAGGCATAGTGATTGTACCAAAATGGGAAACTCAACCATCCCATGTTACAAAAAAAAATGCTTTTTACGGTACATGTCAACATTAGAACTTAGTTTTTCACTGCAGCAAACCTTCATTTAGAACTCTTTATAACCAGAGTTCTACCATAGCTCTCATTACAAATAGTCTTAAAAAAATTAGGGAATCTCTGCCCTAACTTTCATTATAGAAATTCTGAATAATAAAAGAAAATGTATATTAGGAAATTTCTAAAAGGGTCATCCTGTTTTACCAAAATGTATTCAAACTTGAGACCAAAACACAGTTTTAAAATACTTTAGTACTTTCTTTCATTTGAAAAACTTAAAACAGCTAAGAGCCAAACTTGTTATTCTTGCAGCCCAACGGGTATAGTCTTTCTCAAAAATTGCAATATTGTATTGTCCCGTTGCAGTGCCAATTTACAATATATTACGTTGCTTGTGATAAAATGTTAATTTCAAAACACTTATAAGAGATTTTTACTAGCTCAGTGAAATTTAATATCAAACATTACTTACCTTTAAAAATTAAAAGAAATAAATGAGCACATTGACCATATTTTTCTCAGTCGAGAATTCGGCTTTTCTAATAGACACCTTTGGGTGGGGTAATAATTTTCTAGGAAATGTTGGGCACCAATAATTCTCTTTTTCTATTTTTATAAGCTAGTGAGAATTATAAACTCTAGCTTTATCAAAAAAAGAAGTTAATAAAAACTTATACAAAATTTAATTTGACTAAAAGAGAATTGTTGTAACCTTTAAAAAATAAGATTCAACATATCGTCGTTGCCGCGGTGAAACCTCCTATGTGATATTTTACCACATTTTTAGATTTTTGTACCAGTTCATAGTAACTAACATTCTGTACAGTTTAACGAAACCTCCCATGTAATGTTCTTTTAAAATATTGAGATTTTAGACCTCCCTTGTGCGTAATACGTATAAGGCATCAGAACAAAATTGTTACGTTTTTATATCTACTGAAAATTTTGATGAAATGTACATAGGAGGTTTCACCGCGGCAACGACGATATATACTTATAAAAATGACCTATTTTATTTAGATAAAAAAGAAACTGTTCAGGACTAAGTCATTTAAAGTTTATCAGGTATTAATTTTTTATCTCGTCATACATAAAATTAGCCCCTAGTAGTTACCACTTTTGCTTTTTGCTGGCAACTTCCTTCGGAGGTAGTTGAAATTTCTACAAATCGGGAACCAACGCCAAGTCTCGCATTTCCATATTTCGGTTACTCGAACATGAACAGCATACCTCGTTCTTTGTTCTCGTTCTTCCTTGTAACTTTTTGTGAGTTTTAACTATCGGCTTTTACCAGTTAGTTTTCATAAATTGATTTTCCAGCTTTTAATTTTCAGCGTTTAGTTTTACAGCTGCACTTATTCGTTTTCTAAACAAAAATAGATTGTTTTTCACGTGGCTCTTGTACGAGAAATAAATTAAATTTGAAACATCTGCTTTTTAAAAATAAATCAAGATATAATAAAAACTAATGACTATAAACATTGTGCCGTTCTAGCAACCAGAATGAATCATAAAAACATATTTAGAAAAATTTAACTTTACTATCAAAACTAACAACTAACAATAGGTTTGAATATTATTTCTACCGAGATATTTTACAATGACATTATACTTTTTTATGCTTACCAGTTTTACAGCCAAACACCACTAGATATGAAGAGAGAGCAATCGTAAATGAAATTTAAAAATCTAATGCGAAATCGTTTGGTTAACTGTACTCCCACTTCAAGAAATTTCCCTTTCTTTGGAATATTGCGTGCGGCGGTAATTGAATTTAAATTATTAATCGAAAACTATTTATACAGGATGGCACATATTTAAAATAACATTTTTAATTGAACTTTTAAAATGTTACAAAAATAAAGTTGAAAATATCAAGGTGGAAGCTGACAATATACAAATTATCATTGACGAAATCCTAAAACTTCGAATCCACAACGAGCTCAGCCTTTATTAGTATTTTTATTTTATGGGGAAAAAGAAAAAACAAAGTCTTACAGGTCTTCAGTACCTTTTATTCTAACCAGTAACGCTCCAGTCCTTCCAGTATCTCCCCAAACTATTGGGTGGCTAGCTCAAGTACTTAGTACACATACGTATGTACCTCGACCGTCCTCATAATCTGCGTCGATATCGAAACCATTAGAAACACTGTAGGACAAAGAGATCAGTAGTGTTTAACAAGTTTTACAATTAAGACGTAAAACCAACGATCGAAAAAGTATTAAAAAAATTATAAAACTGGATTGTTAAAATTCAATATTATTTTTTGTTGCGTTATTTAATGATTAATTTATTAGTATTATTATTAATTATTATTGTTAATTTTGTGGAAAAAGTTATAGTAATATTTTTTTGCATATTCTATTGTATACATTTACGTAGAAAGCAAAAATCTAGTTTTATTTTGAATAGAACATCCTCTAAACAACTACATGGTCATCTTTATTTCCACTAACAAGGATGTGAAGCATAATTATTGGATCAAACGACTTACCTGAAGGAAGTTCGATCCTAATTATGCGAGCATTCTTGTTAGTGGAAATATAGTCCCACCTCCACCATATTAGTTTATATTATTTTTAACCCCAAACTCCTAGGCTCCACAACAGGTAATGAGTAATTTATTCAGGCAGCGATATATAATAAATTTTAAATCTGAACATGTGTGTCAGCAGCGTAACATAGGTGTACTAAATGGTTATCTTTATTTCCACTAACAAGGATGCTCGCATAATTAGGATCAAACCTTCTTCAGATAAGTCGCTTAATCCATTCAAAATCGATAATCGATTATTTTTTATTAATCGATTATTTTGAATTAATTTATTATTTCGATTAATCGATTATCTTAAATAATCGATAATGGATTATTTATTTTGATAATCGCCTGGTTACAATCTTCCAAAAACATTTTGGTTAATTAATTACTTATATCTTACTTTTACTATTTTCCCTACATCAAGCTCGAAGTAACGTATCTTTTTGGCAGTATCGTTACAAAATAGACCCCGTTGTCACAAATATTTTGCCTATAATTCGTTATTTCGGCGTTTTAAATAATAAAAAAACCTAAAACCTTCATCGGTTTCGAGAAATTTCCTTTCGTTTGGTGAAAATCGAAAAAAAATTTGTTTTCCGAATTTCCAACGAATTTTCCGAAAAAGACTAAAAATTTGCGTATACTACTCGAAGTTTCTTGCAGCCTGGCATGGAAATTTTCCAGCTACCTCAAACACATTTTCCAGGAAAATAGGAGGAAATTTGGTAAAAAAACTTAAAAGAGAAGATAAAGCAAAAAGACTTCAAGAAGAATTATCCGGATCACCGAGACGCGTCGATTGATATATCATATGTCAAGGTTTTTATGACAGGGGGAGAGGGAAATAAAAAATCGTAAAATTTTCGCCTTTTTTTTTTAGAAATTAAGGTAAATGTGTTTTTAAAACCTCCTACCGAATGGTATAGAAAAATGTAACTACGGCAAAGTGGTTTTCCACCAATTGTCCGGCTAAAACAACTTTTTTTCGATAGCGGATTTATACGTTTCTAGAAATTTCTTTTCGTTTGGATAAAATAAAAAATATATATTTTTTTGTTTACCGAACTTTCCGACTTTCCTCAAATATTTCCCAGGAAAATTAGGGAAAATTTTGGGTCGAACACCTTTCCGGGAAAAACATTGCTTATAGGAGGAGATAGGGCAAAAATACCTTAAGAAGAACTATCAGGTTTGACGAGACGCGTCGATTGGTTTATCACGTGACATGGTTTTATGACAGGGGAAGCAGAAATATTAAAAATCGTGACAATTTTTGGATTTTTTTTTTTATAGAAATTTAAGGAAAATATAAATAAATGCGTTTTTAAAAATGTATCTTATCGGAAATGTTTCTACTGGAAGAGGGATAAATAAAAAACGCGGAACTTTGTATTTTTTAGAAATTTATGAATAATTATAAAAAACGTTTTTCTTTATCGGATGGTGTTTGAACATTTTAAATTATTTTACAGTAAAATCTTTTGGTGGTCGCATGACATGCGACATGATTTACTAGTAAAAAAATCTAAATACGTTTTGTCTGTCTGTCTGTCTGTCTGTCTGTCTGTCTGTCTGTCTGTCTGTCTGTCTGTCTGTCTGTCTGTCTGTCTGTCTGTCTGTCTGTCTGTCTGTCTGTCTGTCTGTCTGTCTGTCTGTCTGTCTGTCTGTCTGTCTGTCTGTCTGTCTGTCTGTCTGTCTGTCTGTCTGTCTGTCTGTCTGTCTGTGTCTGTCTGTCTGTCTGTCTGTCTGTGTGTCTGTCTGTCTGTATGTCTGTGTGTCTGTATGTCTATATGTCTATATGTCTATCTGTCTCTCTGTCTGTCTGTTACGAAATTCGATGGATTTGTTCGGGCCCATAGGGCTTGAACTAACTTATCTAATTATAAATTAAAACTTTTTTCTCTAATATATTGTACAGTTAAATGTTTTGGTGGTCGCATGACATGCGACATGACTCGCAGTAAAAATATGTATATGTTTAACACCAATTTGTTAATATTTTTAACTTAATAAAAAATTGATAAACTTTTTTAGGCGAATCTCATAAAAGATGTTGCTAGTGTATCTAAAGACGACATTAGACCTATAATTTCGTTGGACGTAGACGACATAGATCCTATTAAATTGTTAGACTTGGACTCGTTTGAAGGTACTGTCACTTTTTGAGTTTCCATTGGGCATAATAAAGCATTCGACAATCTAAACATTAACCTCGCATGCGCTTATTTTAGGAAAACCAGACCCAGACGAAAAAGATGTCTACGAATCCCCCTCGCCGTCGTCGAGCGCGAACTCGCAAACGAACAGAAGAAGAAGAAGAAGAAGAAGAAGAAGAAGAAGCCGATCGAATTCGATCTCAACTGAAATTTCGACGTCCCATTCGCATTCGATAACAAAAAGAGCGACCAGGAGTGAAACTAAAATCCCAATTTCAACAGGTATTAATTTAATCCCCTCTTTTCACTGACTGATTAATTTTTATCACGTTTAGGGGTATCTACGAGATCTAGAAATCATTCCGAGACCAGTTCAGTAGTATCTGAGCACTCTGAAAGCTCCACGACTCCAAAAAGAGCCAGAAAAAAGAAGTTGGGCGAGAACGGCGAAGCTCCGAGTACCGCGATGAGTACTAGAAGCAGAACCGCTTCGATTTCTTCCGACAAATCAGGTGAGTTTAAAAATGTCGAACGCGATAGCGTTTACTCGTTAAAAACGTTTTTTTTTTAGATTTGTCGAATTCTTCAAGGACGGTAGTTAGAGCTAGACGAGGAGTGGCTGCTAAATCGGATCTACCGGAAATTGTGGAAGAGAAAGTTACCGAAAATGTGAGTATTATTTTAATAATATTCAAAAGTTTTCGGAAAAAAGTATGTCAATTTTTTTTATATTTTTTTATTTTTTTTTATTTTTTTTTACCTTTTAACGACTATAGTAGTTTGTGCAACAAAAGTGGATATGGACAATCCACTCGAGTTGTACAGTATATTTTTTCTACGGCCCATTAACAAAAATCTGCAAATTAAAAAAAATATTTTAGGTTTTTTCCTTAGTTAATTGGCACTGGTATGAAACCAACTGGCCAAAGCTTCGTTAATAATTAAACCAACTTTAAGGACTGTATTTATACAGGGTGTTTATTAAAGAATGGGCCAATTTTCAGATGTGGTTAGTTTGGATAAAAATAAGTTTATTTAAGCCAATTTATCTTTGTAGAAGTTACAGGGTGGAAAACATTTTTTTTTCAATATTTTTACGATAATTTTTGGAGTAAATATATCCAAATTTTGTGACAGTAAGTTTTTTTGGGTAATACAAACGAATACCAGCTTTTTTGTTGCATTACATGTACAGGGCGTTCTAAACTGGCGTGCCAATCTAGTATTTACTTTAATTTTTTTTTTAAATTGACATTTTTGAAAAATGATTATTTATTTTGAAAAAGCCTTCAGTTGCTTTAAAAAAGTCATGTCGCTAAAATGCATTATTTGAAGGAAAACTTAATTTAAAGTTAGTACTGCAAATGTATAGATTACTCCATAATTTCTCAATTTGATGTTAAATCTAGTAGGCAGTTGTCAAATGTAGTAGCAGTATCATGACTAGTCTTACATACAGGCATCAGAGTTTTGAGTGATAAAACTCGTTATTTTTGTACAAACCGCGACATAACTTTTTCTCAAACAGTAAATGACCGATATGATATCAGTTTATACCCAACAAGGTTTTAATGCACGCGTTTCAGCAAGAAGTTACTCAGATTTGTATCCTAATCGTAGACAGCCCAATCAAAAATTGTTTTCATGTCTATTCAGCAGATTAAGAGAATCCAAAAGTTTTTGCCCAAAAAGAGTCAATGGACGACCTATGGTTCGAGATTTACAGCAGGAGGAAGAGGTATTAAATCTTGTTGAAGATGACCCAGCAACAAGTATCCGTCGTATATTTGCCATTTAACTCCAGTCCAAAATCTACTGCCAGATGAATTTTTAGCGAGAACAGCACCCAGTATAAAAAAAATATATTCTTTATAAAAAAACCTCTCATTCCAAACCAGCAGCAGGAACGACAACCTGGATATAAGTTAATTTTATAATAATATATACCACTTGTTGTAGTCGCTGGTTAAGGAATAAGAGGTTTTTTATAAAGAATATTTTTTTTATACTGGGTGCTGCTGTTGTAGCTGCTGGAACAAAAACAATGTGTTTTTGCGACAAGCTTCCAGTATGTTTAGATTCAAAACCAATGCTGCTGGTTTCAGATTTTATGCGGTTTCTGGATTAGGTTCTCTTATATAAGGCAATTCCGTCAACATTTTTTTCTCAGTATGCCTCCGCGCTTTGTGTTACCATATCATCGATATTTGGGTCCCGGAAACGAATTGAAAAGTGGGGAGCCCGTTGATCGTGACGATTACATAGCCGAAAAACACGACTACGCTTACACCAACGCCATATCGGCTGAAGACGTATTAAGAGCCGATGAAGAGGCTGTGAGAGAATTTTGGAGTGATTTTTTAACAACGGGTAATTGGCATTCATTGATCGGTAAGTTTGGTTATTTTTAATTTTTCTTTATAATACCAATAGAATTGAAGGTGCCGCTGGCTTAAAACTTAAGAATATTGTGGAAAAAAAACACAGGTGTATTATATCCTGACATGGCCAATAAGCACGACGAAAAATATAAAAAATTGCCAGTACGTCTTGGCCTATCGAAAAGGAGGGGTGATAATGAACATCGACAAAATGAAGCTCGTAATAAGGAACTATTGTCATGACGAGATCCTACACAAGATCTTGCTCAACCTTCATCCTCTCATGACGTTTCGGATATTGGACAAGACGAAGGATATGGCACCTAAATGAGTCAAGGGAATGCTCCCATGAATACCGACGAAGTAGATGCCGGAGAGGAAATGGGAAATCCGTCCAATACGGAAGGGGTTACAAATCCTACAAACGGAATGGGTGTACTGTATATGATGAAGTCGCTGGCTAGTCCTACTTTACATTTTATAAGAAATCACGTATCATGCATACATGGGGATTTGCATCAAACCGATTTAATTTAGGACCAAAAGGTAAAGAAAGCAATTATATGGGTTTAAGAACAAGCTTAGCATACGTACCTGTCGACTGGATACCATTTTATTTATCTCCTGTGGATTCCATGTTGCCACTAGGGTCCTTCATTAAAGAGGTTTACGTAGAAATAATACCAAAAGGAGTGAGATGCTCATTCGACACGGGTACGACAATAACCGGAAGTGCCAATTCTATGCACGTAATTTTTGGAAAACATTGTGTGGGTTTGAACCATAAAGTCGAACACGTCAACTATATATTGAAAAATGACCGATGACCATAAATTCGCTCGCAAATATTTCGTCGTCGGAATTTACCTATACGGAGAGATCGCAAATTATAATTCCAATAAGGATGCTGTTTTTCCTTCTTCCTGGGGTGCAAACAGCACTACCCGCCTATGCCGTGCTCATGTGTACGGGCAATGGGTCGACCAATAGTTATTACATTAAAACTGGATGGCCTCGTTTGGACAAAATTGTCCAAAGGTGTAATCTCAATGAACATATCAATACCCCGTGCGTCAAGTATACGTATAAACCCAGAAATGGCATTTTAAAGCATCTTTACAACTCGTCCGTGGTACCGAATAAATTGAAATTACTTTCCGGAAGGCTCGACATTGGAGTAAAAGAAACTCAGTGTTTGGTAGATAACAATTTCCAAAATACTCATATGAGATTCGCGCTTTGTAGAGAAAAAGACAAACAAAAATTTGGTTACGAAAATATAATTGAAAAGAATTTTATGACCGGACATCCGAACAACAAGTCACATACGATATCTCAACCTCAGGTTCATATTGGCATTGAACCGGTACAATCTAATGCACCCGTCGATGCCAATCCAAACTGGGTGAATGCTTCCGCGGAAAATGAAATTCGCGCATCATGTGTTATAGGTATTCGTACCGACCTAATGTATGCCGATTGTATGTACGCAAATAAATTAGGATTCCCCTCGGCGACTAAACAAGTTAATCAAAATTATTTCCTTTCTCAGAATCATGTCGGTGGTCATTATTGTGAAAATTGGCAAGGTCATTATAATAACAGTGATTGAGTATATGTATATTTATTGAAATAAAATGTTACAATGTAATAATAAATTTATTCATTAACAACAATAGTTTTAATTATTCCATACAATTTCCATAATTTATACAATGCTAATGGATGCAAGTGTTTAGTAAAATTAGATAATAAAGTACAATTATCCCAAGTAAATCTATACATGCGATTATTAAAAATATCGTTATTTGGAAAAACCTCCGCATTTGTCGTTACAATCACCGGAGTTTTATCTATTTGAACATGTGATTGCTATTTTATATTCGCCATACAGGGGTCTCCCGCAAATAACATTTTACAGGTATCATAAGCTGACGGTTCGCAATTCGGTTCGTCCCATATTATAATTCGTTTATCCACACAATCCTGCAGAGGAAACTGTGAATACTTATTAAAATTCGCAATTTGTCCTTTAACTAAACACAAGGACGCGCATATTTTGGCAAAAAGTGTTTTTCACGCGTTGCTAGGACCCTTTATTTGAATGCATTTTTTTCTCTTCCTTGCGATCTAAAATATTGTAAACAACACTCAAAAATTCTTTTATGTAATCCTCGTCGTAATTACATTGATAAGAAATTAATTCCGATAATTTAGACGTCGATTCTTCGACGGAATAATAATAATAATAATCGTACACGTGACCGGATGTGCAATCGAAAAGAGGCTGCGAATTTAGATAAAATTCAATGAGTTCGTTTATTGTTTTATTACAAATTGACCTTTGAAATATATCAATAGAGGTTATATAATCGGAGTCTGTTCTGCCAATTCTTTTTAATTCCGAGTTATCTATCCACTGCGCGGTTTTACACGAACTTAATAAGGGACAAACCGGGAATTTTTTGAAAAATTGTAAAATTTGCGTAATTTTCGAAGCTTTTTGACGTTTTGATGGGCTGCAATTTTTTCTTTTACGTCCTTTAATAGATTTTGTAGATTCCGATTTCTCTCCACCATCAACGGCGTCACTACGAATTGCACAGATTTCGCCATCTTGGTCCAAATTTGTTCCTTGACCACCTTCTTGGCTTCCTTCAATGGAATCAATTTAATTTGGACCAGGTACTTCCCGTCGGGCGCCGGCGAAGAAATAGTAGAGACAGATTCGGGGTTGTAGAAACATATAAATTCCGAGATATCGGAAATATTCTGTAAATAAAATAAATTCTTTTGTGCGCAGTATATTTGCTCGACGTACTCTTCTTTTAAAACGTCTTCGGGTTTAACTACGGATGGTGTTCAATTAGTTCCAACCAATCGATGGGATTAATTTGGCTACTACAGTCGCGACAAACTTAAACAATGGCCTCCTCAAAAATTTCTTCTTGACAAATTATTTTGATAAGTGCGAATGAATATTTTAATAAAATTGGATTTCTTACAATACCATATATTTCCACTCATCACTTGTAACACTTTATATAGCTTAATCATACATATACTGTTTTTAAAATTCGATTTTTCCTTTTATATTCTAAATTTTTAATTAGTTATAACCAGCATGTGGCTGGAAAATAACTTTTCTTTAATTTTTCCTGGGTTGGGCTTGACCTCGTTTATGTAATGTTTTTAAACGACACGTGTGTGCATTTAACTACATTGTAACATAATTGCACAATATACAGGGAATTTTTTATCAGCAGCATCGGTTTTGAATCTAAGCATACTGGAAGCTTGTCGCAAAAACACATTGTTTTTGTTCCAGCAGCTACAACAGTAGCACCCAGTATAAAAAAAATATATTCTTTATAAAAAACCTCTCA